TATTAAATAAGATGCGGAGCGCGCTTATAAGCTAGGATACTAAAGAAATAAGCTATACTAACTACTTTCACCTCTACTAGCGTATTAATAGACGCTTATATACTACTACTAGAGCGGTTATAGGTATATTATTCTTCTACAATTATATCTTCTTAGCTTTACTTTCTACTACTTGCGCTTTCTATATAGTAACTACTATAACTATATCCTTATCTATCTCTTATTCTGTACTAACTATATTATAATCTACTTCTATAGCCTATAACTATAGCAACCTTATAGATTTTATAGTTAGTTATATCTAGTAAAGCCCGCTTATACTAAAGATAAAATGATAGCGTTTTAATAATAATAAGTGCCTCTACTATAGCGGCGACTATATAGCTTATAATTATCTAAAGAAACCTTATACTACTATATATATAATTAAATTTAGCTCTATCTCTAACATTTCTAATTCTACTACCTCTTCTAAAAACTTAGCTTATTTAGAAAACAAGTAGTTCCTACTAAAAGTTACTTATAGGAACCTATACTTACAATAGTTAAGATTTTCTTTTTATAATCTCCTAGTTGCTTTAGTAAGACTTTAATAAAGATAAACACCTTATAATTAACTATTTCTTAGTTACTAGTTTATATAAATATAAGTCTACTACTCTTATTAACACTAAAGCCTTTAGTACTACTTTTACTATCTAAGCTTATATATAAAACCTTAGCCTTTATTTCCTCCTCCTTAGTTCCTTTATTATTCTTAAAGTTACTAATAGGCGCTCTACTACTACTAGTAATATTATCTCTTCTATCTAAGTTAAGTTCCTAGTAGAGTTATTTAAATAGACTCTTATCCTTTTTATTACTTACCTTAGTTACTTTCTAGTTATTCTTAGGTATTTTTAGCTACTAGCTTACTGCGCTACGCTCGATACTGACTAATAACTATTAGTACTTTCTAGTAGGAACACTAGCTTTTGCATCTATTTAGACTCTATTATTATCCCCTAAAAGAGAGCTAAAGAGCTACTTAATCTTAATCTATTTTTATAGAAGACTCTAGATATCTATATAATTAGCGCAGCTCTCTTTATATACCTAGTAAATACTAAAAAGACGAGCTATTAGCTCTTTAGTATTACTATAAGGGATATTAAAAAGGTTCTCGCCCCTAAGAAAGTTAAAGATCCCGCTATTATCTTATTCTTAAAGTACTATAAATTTCTAGATATTTTCTTAAAGCATCTTTTAGACTAGCTACTACTATATTATACTTATAACTACTATATTTAACTATAGCTAAGGATAGAACTATCTGCTAGGTCTCTCTATAGAATATTTAGGGAGGAGCTATTAGTTCTAAAAAAGTACCTAGAGAACTATCTTATAAAGAGTTTTATTTATTCTAGTAATAGCCTAATAGCCTCCTCTATTCTCTTTATTTAGAAACTAGAGGAGGCTTCTAGTTCTAGGTGGACTACTAGAGCCTTAATGTAATTATAGTTAAAAGCAAATATCTAATCTCTCTTATCTAGGAAATTCTTACTTAATTATTATTAGTAAAGTACTTTACTAATCTTAATATTATTGCGGCTTTTAATAAGCTTTATATTACAAAGGGTAATAAATAGCTAATAGCCTTTTGCACTTATTAGAGTCTCTATAAATATCTAGTAATACCCCTCAATTTATTTAACGCACTCTTATTCTTTTAGCAGTATATTAATAATATTCTTTAGAAATACCTAGACTAGTTTTATACTACATATATTAATAAAATTCTAATCTATAGTAATACCTTAAATAAATACTAGAAGTATATATACAAAATGCTTCTCCGCTAATAAGAAGTAGATCTATAAGTTAATATTAGAAAGTATAGATTCCACGTTTAAAAAGTTAAGTATCTTAGGTTAATTATCTTAATAGAAGGTATTAAGATAGATTAAGCGAAGGTTTCTACTATATAAGACTAGCTCTAGCTATAGAACCTAAAAGATATTCAAGGCTTTCTTAGTTTTATAAACTTCTACTATTATTTTATCTATAATTTCTTTAAGATTATTGCCTCTTTTACTAGCCTTACTTATAAAGACTAGCCTTTCCTATAGGCTCTAGATTATAAATATACCTTTAAGGAATTAAAGTATATATTTACTACTATACTAATTCTATAGCACTTTAACTAGAATAAGCTAGTTATAGTAGAAACAAATACCTTAGACTATATTATAGCTAGTATACTATACTAGCTAGATATAGAAGGCTAACTCTAGCCTATAGCTTACTTTTTAATCAAGATATCTATTACTAAGTATAACTATGAGATCTATAATAAGGAGCTACTAGCTATTATTAAGGCTTTTAAGGCCTAGCGCCTTAAGCTAGAAGGAACGAAAGAACTAGTTAATATTATCTTAGACTATAAGAACCTTAAATACTTTATTTCTATAAAGTCTCTTAACTATTACTAAGTCTATTAGAGCGAGTTTCTCTTATATTTTAACTTTAAGATTATATACTATAAGGGTAGCCTAAATATAATTATAGATGCTTTAACTTGTTAGTCTAGAGATCTTCCTACCAAAAGAGGGAGTAATTCTTAAAAAAACTAGTTTTAAATAATATTTAAGTAGTATAACTTTAACTTCTAGCTTAAGTATTTACCGCTAGCTATTAATAAGATTTATACAGCTTTTGCTAGAGCCTTTACTACCTCCTCTAAACTTATATAAGATACTAAAGATAAAGGAGAACTACTAGTAATCTAGTCTAATATAATTAAAGTACTAGATTAGATTCCTAAAACTATACTAGACAAGAATATTAACACTACCTATATAATAAATAAATAAGCCTAAGAAATCCTTACTTACCTAAAATAAGGTACTTATATAATAAGGGGCTTTCTACTATCTAAAGTTTATAAAGAGAATAGTTAGATAATCTACTAAGACTACTAGTTCTTACTAGAATCTAACTAGGTTTATATATACGCTCTATATAAAGCCTACTTACCTCTAGCTATTAGATACTTAGAAAGTACTAAGATCTTTAATATCTTATTACGTTTATACTAGTAGTCTAGAATTATATAGAATATCCGCTAGTTTATCTATAACTACCTTACCTATATCTATATAAAGATCTCTTAGGACTACTACTAGAGCCTACTAAAGCCTCCACTAGTCCCAGAATAGCACTAGTCTAATATCTCCCTTAACTTTATTATTAAGCTTCTAGGAAGTAAGGATTACTAAGAAAACTTATATAAGAATATTCTTATTATTATAGATCGCTTCTCTAAAATATAGCACTTTATTTTTTATAGTAAGATAGATATATTAACTACTATAGTACTCTTCTTCTAGTATATCTAGAAGCTTCACGGTATCTCTAAGTTAATTATCTCTAATAGAGGAAGCTAATTTATTAGCTAGTTCTAAAAGAAACTATACTTCTAGTTAGGTGTTTACTATAACCTCTCTATAGCCTATTATTCTAAGACTAATAGCTAGACTAAAAACACTAACGTGGTTTTTAAATAATACCTATAAGTGTATATAGTGTTTTTATAAGATAACTAGGTAGATTAGCTATTCTATATAGAGTTTGCGTATAATAACTATATCTTAGAAACTATCTAAGTCTCTTTATTTTTTACTAACTATAGTTAATACCCTCGCCTTAACTTAAAGCTACATATCTCTAAGATAAATCTATCTTCTAAGCTAGACTAAGAAGAAGTAGCTTAGTTCTATAATAAGATAACTATTATTACTTAAGAGCTATAGAAATAGATACGCCTAGTATAAGCTACCTATAAAGACTCTACTAACTACTAATAAACTCTTACTCTAAAGTACTAAGTTAGTAATAGAGTGTATCGAGATACCTATAATTTATAATTAGGTTATTTACTTTAGAAGCTCTTAAATAAGTACTATAGCTTCTTTTATATTACTAAAGTTATTAGTATATATAGCTATTACTTAAAGATTCTATAGTTTTCGTGCTACTACTCTATATTCTACACCTTATTAATCCAGCTCTCTACTAATAATCTACTACTAGAATAAGCTCTACTATTCTCTCTTTTCTATTTAAGCATCTTAGCGAATAATACATAGGATATAAACTAGGTTCTTAATTCATAAAATTACTATAAGCGTTTTAAGGTGCTTATAGACTAGATCGGCTCTAATAAAGACTCCTAGAATCCCTTATACTATATACTAATAGCTTCTATAGAGGTTGATTATTTCTTTATATACTATCTATATAAGCCTAGCTATATATACTAGGTAGAACTTAAGGCTTATAGCTACTCTATATCTTCTATAGAGTTAGATAATAATTTTAATACTAAATCCGAATATAACTTAGGCTTAAATGCCTTATAGAAACTTAGCTCTTAGAGAGAAGCTACTATTATAGTTTAGACTTAGTGTTTCTTAGTATTTAGATCTTTAGTTATTCTAGAGTTATATAACTAAATTACATACTCCACCTATAGTATTATCTTTCTGTTTTCCTTATTGCACCTTTTAACCTTATGTAATATCTTGTATATTACTCTAATAAATTAAGTTCTAGTATCAAGCCTTTCTGTACTGTAATACTTTTATACTACCTTCTATTTTAGAACTAAAATAGGTTATATCTAGTATTAGACTAAGTAAATGTAGCTCTAGTAACTAGATTTCTATTGAATTGTCTATTAAAGTCTTTCTAGTTTTTACTAATAATAACTACTTTCTCGCCCGAACGTACGTAGCCCTCTTTTAGCTTTCTATATAAACTAGAAATAGGGATGGTAATAAAAGCGCTTACACCTAACACTATAAGACACTACTATATCCTAGCTGGCCATGAAGTGTTTCGTTCTCTTCTAAAACAGAATAACACTGCCTTCTTCTACAAAAGCAGCCGAGCACTTCGCCTTCGCGCGAAGTATCGAGCGCGAGATCCGGCGGGCGAATACGCCTAAGCAAATGAGTCTGATGTCTCCGTTCAAGAGACCAGATGCAGTAGGTGACTCGGCTAAGAAAGGCGGCGGCTGGAGGTTGGAAGAAGGCATCAGCGAATGGGTTACCATGACTCCTGCATCCCTTCTAGCGACTCGTTTTTCTGTGCAGGCTTCGGTTAGCCTGCCGAGCCCTGTCTTGGAAGCTGAGCATGCCTCGCCGATGGTCGTCATCCACCGCGGTCTCCAGAGCCTTGGAATGGACGGAACCCACGAGACACCTTGCAAGCCGTCGCTGTCCCGCATGCTGCTGGGCAGTTCACCGATTGATGCGATTGTCGGTCCTGACCATGCGCTGACAGAAAAGCTCGAACGAAGGAGGCTCAAGCGCTCGTCCCAATCGTATTCAGAGAATCTCGGTTTCGACCCAGCACCTAAGCGGAGACGGGGCAGACCACCCTTACAGCCTCAGCGACTCGCAGACATCACCAACACGATCTCGCCGCCCGATCTCCATAGCAAGAGCACTACCCCTTCCTCTAAAGCTGACGCCGATGCTCCGGTCCTTCCCCGTACGCGCAAGGCTCAGAAGGCCACCGGGACCACTTCTAAGGAGCTAATCACAAACGCAAATGATGAGGATGAGCTGTCGCTCATCGAGACGCAACTCCAAGATGCCAAAGAAAACTTGGCGCTGCGTGGAAAGAGTATTGCATGTGTCAAGAAGCGGCATAACCTGAGGAGCTCGGTTTCTACGCGGTCTGCAGGTGGCGCACGCGATGCGGTCCGGTCCACGGTTGATGAGAGTGAGGGTGAGTGAGTTTCGGATAATGCACGTTGCTCTCTGAGGCGGTTTGGATTGCGGCGTTTCTTCAGCCTAAAGTGGAGTGTGGATAAACGCGATGCATGGTGAAAACGGTTTGACGGTGGAGCTGCGTATGGAAGGCGAGTGCCACTTATTTGGCGCTCGAGCGATACAGAACTGTGACTCAGTCATTAATTCTGCTACTATGTGGTGGAAATAGGAAGATTCTATCCATGCAACCGTCGCACGTTCAGTGCAGCTTCACTTCATGTCAATGGTCAGAAAGAGATTGTGCCGCTAACAGAGTTGATCACTAGACAGTCGCAGTGACCTTGTCCGTATGATCGAAATCCGCTTCGCGGCTGCAAAACAATAAAGAAGGCACCCCATAGCCCCTCGACATCACGGATCGATTCTCATCAATATTTCGAATGATCGCGTGGACCTCCGATGGGCCTCAAGCGCATTCAATGCGCGTCGCGTACGATATGTCTTCATCACCGTGGGGGCTTACAGACCGCTGCGAAAGTAAAGGAGCATGATTACGGCCATTCATACCTCATCACCATCCTTCAATCATCATCGCCCTCCCCCCTTTTTCAGGTCCATCAGCCGCACAAGCTCCTCAGCAATATCCCTCGCGAAGCCCTCATCATTGATCGCCCTCTCATCTCTCACGACTCTAATCGCGCTATCCTTCAATCCCTCCTCAATCATCTCAAACAACGCCCGATCAGCCTCTCTGTCCTCAAACGGCCCGCCAGGCGTCGCAATCATGCTCACACCGCCCGTGGGCAACCACACCTGCACCATTTCCTTCCTCTCCGCATACCTCCTTAGCTTCTCAACCATGAACTCTCCTATTTTTGCGCACTCGTCTTTGTTTGTCCGCATCAGAGTCACCATTGGATTATGCTCATACAATCTTCGATCCTTAAATCTTTCTGGAACAGTGTTCCTAGCCCCATAGTTCGCCATGTCACACGCGCCGACGCTCAGGATGTTGGGTATGCCAGCGCTGGCTGCTGCTTCGAGCCTGTTTGGTCCAGCGGACATGTTGCCGTCCAAAAGGAAGTCGCAGATCTCAGTTGTCGTGATGTCGAGGATGGCGTCTAGCTGCCCCTCGTTGATGAGCCGCTCCATTGCGCGCCCGCCATGGCCCGTGGCGTGGAAGACATAGACTTCGATGTCGTAGACTCTCTCTAGATGCTTCCGTATCACGTCAACGCAGGGAGTCGTCACGCCGAACATCGTTACTCCCACCCTCCTCTTCTTTTCCGCAGCACCTTCTTCCGAGAAGTTCTTCAGATAAGCCTGATACGCCCTGGCCATTCCGACGATCGCCCCGGCTGCATTTGCCAGCACGTTACGCAGCACGCTGTTCAGTCCAGCAATGTCTACGACGGAGTACATCATTGTGATGTCCGTCTCTCCAACGATAGGGCCGGTGTCTCCGCTGGCAACGGTACTAACAATGAGCTTCGGAAAGCCGATTGGCAGCGCCTCCCTCATGACGGCAGAAGCGAGGGCAGTACCTCCGCTGCCGCCCGCTGAAATAATGCCGTGAATTCTACCATCCTCGAATAGTTTTTTACGCATCTCGACGCGCAGAATGACATGCGTTTGATCACTTCGCCGCGTGGAAGCTCGGAGACGGGAGTCTGACCGGCCTCGTCATAGCGTGCAAGCAGCTCGGATTGGCTGATGTTTATGAAGTTGTGTTCGGTATCTGAGCGGCAACATCTAGGAGAATGCTTTCTGCCTCGGCTTTCCTGATCTGGGTGTCCAGGAAGAGCAATTCCTCAAGCTTGGAGTCGAACGTCCCGAGGAGGAGGACGACGGGGTTCATTGTGCTGTACCTAGGTATTTTGTACAGTTGTCACTTACCCCGGAAACGAAATGGAACCTCTGTCCTGCTCAAACACCCGCCACATCGGGGACCTTGTTTGAGTCGTCTCTAATGCCTCAATGATACTTTGGAAGATATGTTCACTTCACTATGCTGCACACCGGATCCTTCCCAGGTTGACGTGTGTCAAAGATGTGGGGAAGCGTGGGGCGGGAGATCAGCAACAGGGATTACCCACCATCGCCCATCTCAGCAACGTCTTACTCAAGCCCACCTCGCAACCACCAAGTATCAGCCGGCGGTCTTCAAGTCCGTTGTATGCATCAGAACAGACCCCAATGCCTCCTCCAACAAACAGGCAAGATATCCTCGCTAAGCTCCGCAAGTCTGTTGAAGATGGAAGCATCATCGTCGGCGCCGGCGCAGGCAAGCTTCCTTTGCCTAGAGCACCCTTGCGAAACTTGTCCGCTGACATGCACCAGGTATCGGCCTCTCCGCCAAGTTCATCGAAGCAGGTTGCGGCGATCTAATAATCCTCTACAACAGCGGGCGCTTCCGCATGGCCGGCCGCGGATCACTCGCAGGACTGATGCCTTACTCCAACCCCAACAATGTCGTCGTCGAGATGGCGTCAGAGGTGCTACCTGCCGTAAAGAGCACACCGGTGATAGCGGGGGTCTGCGCATCTGACCCATTCCGCGACATCTCCAGATTCCTAAGAGAGCTCAAGGACCTCGGCTTCGCGGGTGTGCAAAACTTCCCCACCGTAGGGTTGATCGACGGCCAATTTCGGCGAAACCTTGAAGAGACGGGCATGGGCTTTGGGCACGAGGTCGAGCTCGTCCGGCTAGCGCATGAGATGGACATGCTGACGACACCCTACGTCTTCGACGCTGGCCAGGCAAGGAAAATGAGCGAAGCAGGGGCAGACATCCTTGTCGCCCATATGGGGCTCGCGACCTCGGGATCTATTGGCGCGACGAGTGGAAAAAGTCTCGATGACTGCGTTGCTCTTGTTCAGGAGATTCGGGACGCGGCTGTGGAGATCAATAGGGGAATATTTGTGCTGTGTCATGGTGGACCGATTGCGAAGCCGGAAGATGCGAAGTACGTGTTGGAGAGGTGTAAAGGCGTGCATGGATTCTTCGGAGCGAGTAGTATGGAGAGGCTGCCGGTTGAAGAGGCCATTACGGGGGTTACGAAAGAGTTCAAGAGCCTCAAACCGGGTGGTGCGGGGTGACCCGAGGGTAGGCTGCAAAGCGTTGCCCTTCTGTCATGAGGTGTCACTGCTGATTCGCTGCTTGACGGCTGGAAACTTTCTAGAAGGCTCTGCTGTTCCCGCGATCTGGCTCATGCTGTTCCCCTGATTGGAGGGCAAGGCAACGGGGGCCTCAGTGTTCTGGAAAGTCACCCCCGGTCATCATCTTGCTGATCCCCTCCCGCTTTCGTATTGTGTTTTCGCTCTTCAGGGGCTGCTAGATCAGAGGATACATCGAGCAAGGACCCGTGCGCATGCTGGATAGCGGGGTAGGAAAAGCTAGACACTGCGAGCTTGCAGAAGGAGAAGCCAGGGTACGTGAACGACTAGGAGCGAGAACAGTATGAGACAGCCAGAACGTAAGGTTGCACAGCTAAGTAGCATCGGTTATCAAGGCAGAGCTTCTGATGATATTGCTATGCCTGTGCGCCTCATCTGCAATATGTATTGGATATAAATCCTTCGTGCACTAGCGACGTAGCTTTGCGTGCGAGTGGTTGAGTACGTGAGAAGGGATTGATTTGTCGAGAGCTGTGTCGTGCTCTTGGGGGCCAAAACGAATGAAAGGAGTGCAACAAAGTTCTACATTCCGAGGTTTGTCTTATGAAGTGGCAGTCCTGGTGCGGTGCTTAATGTCGGTCTGTTTCCTGGAAGGGAAGGTATTCCGTCACGTGTTCGAATCAGCCGCCGCCGGCGATCCAGAACGAGCTTCAGAACCAAGCCAGATTCAGGTACTCGATGTTTCCACGAGGCAATCTAACAGGGCTGATGAAAGGACCACACGCCTCACGGACGCCCCTACATCATACCCGCAATGACAGTTTCGTCTGATCGCAATAAGATAAAACAGGGAGCTTCACCTCCCGAGAGATGTAAGTCTGGCACGCCTGGACGGCTATATAAACGTATTTCTTTGAAGCATTTCGCTGCCATTGCTTTACGGCTGTCCTTCTGTTGTGTACGACCATGCTGTTCGCTAAGCTCTTCTTCTTGCTGGTGGCCGCCTTGGCCTCCACAGTATCTGCCCAGGCCGTTTTTGCCCATTTCATGGTACGTGACTGCAAGTGAGCTGCGAACCAAAACAAGCTGACCAGACACAGGTGGGAGTGGTCCAGTCCTACAACGTTGACCTCTGGAAGAAGGACATTCAGCTGGCCTCCGAAGCAGGAATCGACGGCTTCGTCCTGAACATTGCTACTCCATACGGCAATATCGCCCCCCAAGTCGCAAATGCCTTTCAGGCCGCAAACCAACTCGGCTCCAGATTCAAGCTGCTCTTTTCCTTCGATTACCTCGGCGGTGCGGGACCATGGCCTGCCAATGAGGTCATCAACATCCTAAAGCAGTACGGCCCAAACGCAGCTTACTACAAGTACAACGGGAAGCCGCTTGTTTCCACCTTCGAAGGAGTGAACAACATTAACGACTGGCCGAACATTCGCGCCTCTGTGCCTGGCGGCATCTTCTTCCTCCCAGACTGGGCCTCGCTCGGCCCCGGTGGTTTCTCCGCCCACCTCGACAAAGTCGATGGTGCCTTCTCCTGGGACATGTGGCCGGAGGGCCCGAACAGCATGACGACTGCTAGGGACCAGGAATGGCAGAGAATGCTCGGCTCGAAAGCCTACATGATGGGCGTCTCACCCTGGTTCTTCACCAATCTCCCTGGATATGGCAAACAGTGGACCTGGCGTGGTGATTCTCTGTGGTACGACCGGTGGGAGCAGGTACTAGCCCTCAAGCCCGCTTTCGTTCAGATCGTGACCTGGAACGACTATGGTGAAAGCCACTACATCGGACCCATCTACCAACCTGGGGTCCTTTCAGGCCCGAACACGAATGCTCGCGCGTACGTTGATGGGATGCCGCACGACGCCTGGCGCAACCTTCTACCGTACTACATTGCACGGTACAAGACCGGCTCAGCTGCGATCCCGAACGACAAGCTGAGCTACTGGTACCGCCTGACGACCGCCGCGGCCGGCAGCGCCAACGGTGTGACAGGCAATAACTGCGCTTATCAGAGGTGTTACAACCCGAACGAAATTGTCCAGGACAAGGTCTTTGTGACTGCCCTTGTCAAGGCCCCGGCTGTAGTGAAGGTGCAGATCGGTTCCAACCAACCTGATACATTCCAAGCCACTGTAGCAGGCGCGCGGCATTTCACTACCCCGTTCAATGGTCGGACTGGTCCGGTCAGGGTCTGGATCGAACGGAACTCGCAGTCTGTCCTATCTAGTACCGGTACAGCGATCTTGGCACGTCCGGCAGACGGAATCACCAACTACAACGCTTGGGTTGGTGGAGCTTGAAGAGCTACTGTCGAAAGGAAGGAGCGCATACTGCCTGAAAGAGATGATATACGGCCTCTTTGTCCTTGAGTCACGGTTTCAACAACCGTCGTTACATTCTCCTATATAAATTGAGATCTTCTACATTTATGCTAGTGAAATCATTATCTGCAGTTAGTTTCTGTTCGCGACTATCATGGACCCACCTTTCGTTCGCTTATAACAGTTTACTTCTCACCCTTCGATAATGCTGTAGCGTTCGTCTTCATAGCGAGGGTACTATCCGTGCCGACAATGACATTGTTTCGACGAAGACTACTTTGGTCCTGTTATTGACAAAGCCCTTCCGTGTGCTCGAGGTCTACTCCTCTTGTGATATATAAACAGGCCATCTATCCCGACTTCGCTCCTGTCCTTTAGCCCACTACCCTATATACACTTCAGACACGTCTTCCTATATACACACTCTTCTAAACAGCGAACGCTACGCAAGTATAAACACCCACAATAGCAATCATCCAACAAGAGCACCCGGAGCCTATGGACGAGAGGATAGGCCCAGAACTTTCCAGGATGACTCTCTACACCGTGATGTAAGTTCTCCTCTCCCTCCAGACTCCGTTCAAACATGCAGTGTTAGTCGAGAATGCTGGCACGCAGCAAGATTTACCACCCAACGGTCCGTGCATCCCGACGCGGTATGCATCCTCGCCTCATTTCCTCTGCTCCCGATAGCGCTAGCATCGATTAGAGGAACCAGCTGACGGTGTCGAAGTCCGATACGTGAGCGTGACACGACTCCAATGCTCGACCGAAACCGTGGTAATCCCCCTCGCCCCGACTCCAGAGTCCAGAACCGGACAACCCACTTAGGCCCAAGACCAGGCCGGGAGAATAACGAGCCAGAAGACTAACGAACATTAAGATCATCAGGCAAGCATAACAATCGCCAATCACGGATAGCGCTAGCGTCGATTATAGGAAACGCGGAAATGCCGCACGGGTGCGGTTAGAATACTGTCCCGCGCCAGCCATCGCAGCACCGTTTAGATAAGACCGAGCACCTAACGGTAGCGGAGATCTATAAGAATAACACCATTAAGAAAGGTCAGTATCCTAGAATATACAGAGGGTATATAAAGGAGAAATACGACGTGAAAGAGTATAGCTGTGATCCTTGTCTGGATCGCGGAGCGACTCACCGTATGGTTGCATGAGAAATCACTGGCGAGGATATCTCTGATATTGCCAAGTGGAGAAAGCATGATCCGTATATGTCTGCTTGGATACCTTTATCTTAATAGGGCGCTTCCTGCGGCTGCTAGTCAGTAACAACGCGGCCTGAGTGGATCGCGGAGCGACTCATTGCGTGCGTCTTGGGCTCGGCTAGATACAAGAAAACATAAAACACTACTTGCCTACCACTTTGAGGTTCTCCTCTTGAATGTGCAATGTCTCTTAGTGTGATGGTACGTCCGCGAGAGATTTTACTCGAGTGCACTATACGCAATTCAACAAAAGTAACAACTATACGTGAAGCAGGCAGACTCTAACCTATACTACGTGGTAGATGCACAAGTCATAGCTTACTTTAACACCGATCCATATTTCATAACTAATCCTCAGAATTCCGAAGCGACTAAATACCCGAAGGGGTCAGCAAGCAGTTAATATTAAACAAGAGATAGAATTTAGAAATACACCCTCTTCCCTGCCCTAATAGCTCCCTTCCCTAGGTTAAGCGCCTGGAACCGCCTCTAAATTCTCCTTCACGCACTCCTCCAGCTCCACCCATCTATCTCTCTCTATTCTCTTAAGCAATTCCTCTACTCTCTTTGCTAGCGCTAGTATATTTATGTCTCTTTTAATATCTAGATCTAGATTAAGGAACTTTCTATCTAGATAGTATTAATAGAGAATTTTGTAGATATTCTTCTACTAAAACTCCTTATAAGATACACTTGTTTTATACTAAAACGGTTTCTAGTATCCTTAAAAAGTACTCTCTAAGGTAGACTCGAACTGCAGACCTTCTATAAGGTAAAGGAAAGAGTAAAGAATATAGTATAGGCAGAATTCCACTATAAGCATATATTATATATTATTAGTACTTCTTAGAGTGGACATAAATTATATATTAGGAAAAAATTTTAGTTACTTAGAGCTACTTAGAGTACTTAGAGCCTACTCTAAGTACTTAAAGCCTTTAAGTAACTCTACCCACTCGCGAGTAACTCGCGAGTAGCTTTAAGTACTTAAAGTAAATCTTAGCACTAAGCCTACTTAGTTATTACTAAAATTTTTTTAGAGAAAGCTTTAAGTCTAATCTAACTAGTAATATAGAGATAGGTATAATATAACTAGTTTAGAGAGTAAACTTTTAATAAAAATAATTATTATCCACTTAACTTTTAGAAACGTAGATATATTACCTAGTTTTATAGGAGGGTAAAAGTTAAGTAAGAAAGAGAACTCTAAGATTTTTTATATAATTTATATTTTTTATACTTACTAAGTAATTTATACCCACCCCAATTAATTAGAGCGCTTTAGATATTTTAGACTAATATGAATTTTATAAGCGCCTAAATTTTTCCTAATATAGACTTTACGTATAATACTATAAATACTATAAATAACGCGATTTCCTTATAAGTTACACTTATACTATATATATATAAAGTTATTATATATAGTAGAGGCTAGGCTTACTTAATATATACTAGTACATACTAGTATATATAGAATTATAATAGTATTCTCTATTATATATAGATTAAAAACCTAATAAACTCTATAACTACTATCTAACTAATAACTCTTAATTCTACCCTTCTATATTCACCCGCTAAGTCCCTTATATTAATTAAATAAGTATAAGTATTATTATTCTAAAATAGTCTAGTATTAGTAGTACTACTATAGGCGCAACTGTTAGTAGTAGTAGTAGTAATAATAACTTAAACTACTTAAATTATAAGCCTTTATATAGATATAAAGTAGAGGCTATAAGCTTTTCTTCTTTAGCTTAGAGTAGTAGTAGGTATCTATACTATAAGATCTATAGGGTAGTAGCTAATATTTATAATAGAGATTAAACTACTTATATATACTAAGAAGGCTTTTATAGCGTGTATTAGGCCTAAGATAGATAAGTAACTACTTCATAATCTTTTATTCATCTATAGTACTAATCTTACCTTCTATAGTAATTATAGTAATATTAATAATATAAATAAGAGCCTCTTTTATATCTCTACTAAAGCGTAGCTCTATATACCCCTTATATAGAGTAGATAGTATAACTACTATTAATATAGTCTTAGTTCTTTTACTAAGTATTATACCCTTAGATATATATTTAGTAGTACTTACTATAACTATATCTAGAGTAGTTACTACCGCGATTCTAGTAATAAGTGTAGTAGCTATAGTATTAGTAAGTATATATTATTATAGTTGTCTTTATATAGTATTAACTTAATATAGTTATAGATTCTTTAGGTAAATATAAGTCCTATACTATATCTATAGATACTATTCTACTTTATTAAGCTTAGACTACTATCTTTATACTAGTTACTTCTATCTATATATAGGCTCTAGTATTCTTTTTTTTTTTATCTATAAAGTTTTATACTATCTATAGTACTACTATTAATACTAGTAATAGTATAGCTCTTAAATACTATAACGCTACGCTTACTATAGTAATAGCTATAAATACTACTTACTACTAATATATTTGCGATTATTATAAAGACTACTACTCTACTTCTTTTCTAAAGTAGAGCCTTAACTAGTAGGACGTCTTATAGCTTCGCTGTACCGCTACTATAACCTAGTAATAATAGACTTCTATAGAAGGCGAAAATAATAATAACAATAAGAATATAGATAGGAATAGCTAGATATATATACTATTACTTTAGATAGCTATATCGTCTTCTGCAATAGTGTAAAGTAAGTAAAATTATACTCTTATAGTTTCTAACTCTTATAGTAATAGGTATAATACTATATTATACCTAGTATATAATGCAAGTATAGTATTTATAGATATATAGATAGTATACTACCTTATAGCTTTTAATAATATTAATTATGGCTATTTCTACTTTTATATTTTACTTCTATACTAGTAATATCTATAATACTATATAATACTTATATCTTTATCTACTGTTTATACTTAATAGCTATAGATATATCACTAGTAATATATAACTTATAGGTCTAAGCGCAATATACTATAAAGTAATATATATATCTAATATACTGCTAATTCTTCTACGCTAGTCTCTATATTCTCCTATATCTATAGCACCTTATTATATATTACGTTCCTTAAGCGGCCGCTATAGGCGATATCTATATTAAATAGTACTATATAAATACTATTAGAATAGATAATATAGCTAAGTATAATATATAACTAGCTATAGCTAAATATCTCTAGACTAAGAAGTAGACTAATACTAGATAGGCTTTAGCTCTAAGCTTTATTAATAGTTATTATAAAGGTAAGTCTAACTAGAAACTAGTACTATATAAACTTAAGTCTTTAATTAGAGCTAGGCGCATCTAAGAGTATATATAGTAGCTATATAATTATACTATACTTCTATATTTCTAGAATTAAGTAGTATAGTAAGGTATAGAATATAGAGAGAACTACTAACTATATACTATTATAGAGGCTATTATCTAAATTAAGATTATAAAGTAGTATTACTAGATAGCTAAACTTAAGGCGAAGTATATATAAAGGTAGCTATAGAATATTAATAGAGTATAGAAACTTCTTAGAAAGAGCTGTAGCGTGTATACTATTCTATAGTAGTTTAGAAGTAGAATATTATCTCCACGCCTAGTATTATATTAAGTAGTAGCTAGTTTATACTATTTACTATATTATTTCTTAGCGTAAGAATTATAGAGTCCTATAGCTAATCTATAGGTAACTACTAGCACCTAAGGCTAGAAAAGATAGTAGTAGTAAGCGTCTTTTTACTATTACT